GGCATTCCTTCTTCGTAGGCTCTTCTCGCAGAGTGGCACTGGGAGGAGGAGTGAGGTAGACATTTTGTTGTACTCCAAAGGTGCTGGGGCTAGCCAAGGGTCAGAAACCGGGGTGTGTGCATGTGTGTGCACGTGTATGTGCATGCGTGCGTGTGAGTGGGTGCGCTGGATGGAAGCTGTGATGGAAGCTGTGACAGCGTGTCCCTGTATCGGTGCAGACCCAGCTGAGAGGGTAAACCTCTGGCAGAGTGAGTGGAATGGGATGGACGTGGGACCTAGAAAGGTCTGAGAGCCAGCATGAAGGGGAGGGGTACCTGTGGCCATAGGAAGGTGGCAGCAGAAACAGGGTGGGGGACGCTCTCCTGGAGCGAGCTCTCCTCCCTCTCTGCCAGAACACTGCCGGAGAGCCAAGGGCCACTCTTCCAGCCAGGTTTCAGCAGCACCACCGAGGGGCAGGGATTTCCCGCCTGCGCTTGCCCCGAGGAGGCCTCTTCCCATTCTCTTGCCTGCGTCCCCCGAGCAGCACGCAGAGCAGGTGTGTTCTGTGGAAAGCTCACCGACGGTGTGGAGGGTCTTGACGGGGCCTCACACTCCACAGCAACACAGCTGGCAGCTTCCGGTATGCCTTCCTACTGCAACGCTGCTTTCCTGGGTTCAGCGATTGCTTTTCACTCAGTCTTTATAAATAACGCAAGCCTAAATGCGCATAAGGTTGTACACGCACGCACACACGCACACCCTCGTTAGAGAGCACTGAGACGGAACAGTTAAAGAGAGCAGGTCCTAGCCAGAATTACAGCGGTACTGAATCATTTTGAAGTTAACCTAAAGGGATTATGTATAAGGGCATTATCCCGTTTGCTTATATTAAGAGCAATGAATGCATTAAACCTGAAACCAACAATGAACATTTCTGAAACCAATAGAAAAAATTGTGAGTGATTGTAAAACACATCGTTCCAGTAGTCGATAAAGGCTGGTGATGGCTCAGACATCTTTACAAAAGAAACTGAAGTGCGATTAATTGAAGATTATGGAGAAACACACGGAATGAATTAAAAAAAAAAAACTAGATTAAGCTCATGAATCACATATACAGTACTATATTTTGTGGGTGATTTAAGGCAGTGGTCCCCAACCTACGAGGCATCAGAGACAGCCTCACGGAAGACGCTTCCTCCTCCATGGACAAGGGCGTGGTGGAGGGGGTGTGGGTCCTGGAATGACTGAGCACCCGTTGCCACCACCACATTGTACCATAATAAAACCGTCACCCGGTCACAGGCTTGCATGCCCATGACAGCAGTGCCGCCACAGGTCCCATGGGAGGCGGGACTCAGGTGAACCGCGAGCGATGGAGTGGCTCTAAACAGGCCGGCCGCCTTGCTCACCCACCCACCACCCAGCACTGTCTGCACTCGGGCGTGGGGACCCCAGATTTCAGGGAGTTTCGTGGAACTTGGGCTAGTGGAGATTTGCACTCAGGTGTGCTGTAAACCAGGAGAGGCGATGGCCTGGTTTTCCCGACCGGGGTGTGTCCGCATCGGAGCAGGAAGGGCATCAGGAAGGGTGAGGGGTAGACTCAAGTGTAGGTAGAGCAGCAGCCACGTGTGCTGCATTGAGAAGGTAAGGCCAGTTCTGAGGGCAGCCACAGTGAAAGCCCACGGCACGCTCAGTGGACGGTCCCTGGGAGCTGCTGGGAAGCGCCGTCTGCGGGCCCAGAAGCGTCTCTGAGCACGGCTCAGCCCTGTCACCCCGAGTCCTGTGGACCCTACCAGAAGCCAGACGTGTTTTTAGAGCATATTTGTGTTTATAACTTAAGGGAACTTCAAACTGTTTGTGGAGAAATGGAACTAACGTACCAGGATTTTTAAAAGAAAGAAGAAGCCCACATGTGGCTGTTTCACTGAGCATAATTCATGAGCTTTCTGAAGACGCCTCGCGTGACCACTGCCATCCGAAGCCACTGCCATCCGAAATGACGGTTCCCGCCGGGTTGCAGAGCAGTGGAGTGGAAGCCAGTGTCTTCCCGCCATAGCTCTGCCGCTCGGCCCAGCATGCTGGCTGCTGCTCGCCTCCCGAGAAGTGACGGCGGTGTTCCCAGCCCCTCCGACCACCCTGGCAGAGTGCCAAGAAGATGTGGCAGGCTTTGCTTCCTCCAGAGGGAAGTAGGTGAACAAACCGGAACAAGACAGACACCCCTTCAGGCTGAGCCCGGCCTTTCGGACTGCGCCTGGGAGCTGTCAGGCTCCGGCCCTTCTCGGAGGCCTGGGTGAGACCAAGGGCTCAGCACCATCTGAGATGCGGGTGCCCGGCTCGTGACTGCGACACCGCAATCCCTCGTTCAGTCTAGGGTGACTGTCACGTCTGCCTTAATCAAGTGAGGCATGTGCTTGATGTGTGGCCGATGGCCGTGCTCCTGGGGCCAGTGGAGGAGAGTTGGAGGGCTCTCCCAAGAGCTTGGCTGCAAAGGTGCTGGGGCTAGTCAAGGGTCAGAAACCGGGGTGTGTGCATGCATGTGCACGTGTATGCGCATGCGTGCGTGTGGGTGGGTGCGCTGGATGGAAGCTGTGATGGAAGCTGTGACAGCGTGTCCCTGTATTGGTGCAGACCCAGCTGAGAGGGTAAACCTCTGGCAGAGTGAGTGGAATGGGATGGACGTGGGACCTAGAAAGGTCTGAGAGCCAGCGTGAAGGGGAGGGGTACCTGTGGCCGCAGGAAGGTGGCAGCAGAAACAGGGTGGGGGACGCTCTCCCGGAGCGAGCTTTCCTCCGCAGTACACGGCAAGGTCACGGTCTGCAGCTCTGGGGAGGCTGGAGGTCTGATGAGGAAGAGGACGGCCGTGAAGGCAAGGGCTTCCCTCGAGACTTGGGAGGTTTGCGTGGCCTTGAGTGTCCGCCTGAGGCTCGTGTCATAGACTTGGTATCAGGGCTTGCTGCTCGGTGACCTCATGGGGACCGAGTCTGCCAGGTGACAGGCGAGTGTGACTGAGGGAGCTCAGGGGCTGGGGCTCCCGCAATGGAGCTGTGCAACTACCGGACCACCCAACCTGCCCTGCTCACGGAGAGGTCAGGACGTGAGACCAAGTGTCCACAGAGCGTGGGAGGGGCAGGACGAGAGACGGAGGGCCCACGGAGCGTGGGAGGGGCGGGACGAGAGACCGAGGGCCCATGGAGCGTGGTGGGGCCGGGGACCAGAGCTGCCAGGAGGGTGGGAGGCCTGGGCCACTGGGCGCCAGAGGGGAAGCGCCAGCCCTGGAAGCGGCATGGGAGGCTAACTTCTGCAGCAGGTGTGGCTGCCCTCCTCCCCAGAGGCACTGTGTGGCCAGGCCCAGGGCGCCAGGCCTCTGAGAAGTGCTTCCCAAGTACAGCACCAGCTCCGCCAGGGCTTGCTGGCTAGGGGAGCCTGAGTCACCGACTGGGCCTCACGGGGGCCCGATGTGAGCGCTGTTCTCCAGGGGCACACGTGTGCTTGGGATGAAGTTCCAGCATGGAGCGACGCATCTAGTCTCCCGTCCACGTACACAGGGTTCCAACAGAGAAACAAGGAAGTCCTTCCAGGGTGTGCGAGCACTCCAGATCCCGCCAGGATGGAGAAGTGGAGGCCTCGGTGTGGCCACACCTGGGGGTCCTTCCCTCTCCCTGGTGCGCGCACATTGGCAATAAAAACGGAGGAAAAAAAGGAGAAGCTCATTCCATGACTAAGAAAATTTCCAATGTATCTATTGTCAATGGTAGCTTTAAAAATTAAGAGGAATTCTCTGGGAGTGTACATTAAAAATAAACTAATACAGGGACCAGCAGTTGGCATAATGGCCATGTCACTGGACTCCCATCTAGTCAACTGTGGTTCAAGTCCTGGACCAGGTGGCTTAAACTCATGCTGGGCGTGTACGCATGCGTGCCCAAGATCCCGAGAGGACAATGGAGGAGAAGGGATTGCGGCGTGGCCTGTCCCCCAGGGGTGGTTTCTTCCTTTCCGTGTCTGTCTTTCTGGCAAGTGCATGTGTCCTACAGCAAAAACCTCTCAAAAAAAAAAAAAAAAAAGCAAACACTTTGAATACTAAGGATTTAAAAATAAATGTAAAAACAGAGTATTAACATTTTGATTTTACTGCCTTGTCACATACAATTACAAGAAGATAAGCAAACATCATCCTTATCAGAAGAGGCCGAGGGTGACCATCTGCAGAATTCAGTGGAAAATCAATGGCGTACATGGTCAATTTCAGTCGATACAAAAATAGTTCCATTTATGCCATGAGCCTCGGCTCTGCCACTCCGTAACCGGGCTCCCATCCGGCTCATTCGATCCCACATTCTCCGACCGGGGGCTGTGCAGGATCAAGACCCAGCTTCTTCATGGACACGGCGATGTCGAACAGGTAGTCGTAACACTCACACCTGTGTGCCAGGGAGACGGAGGTGCTGACGAGGCCACCGGCCCTGGCGAGCGCGTCCCCTCCACCGCCCTGACCCCTCCTTTCCAGCACATTCCCTCAGTTCCGGGCCAAGCTTTTGCTGCTTCAACCTGAGCGACTGTGAAACAGGGTGAGGAGTCGCGCGGAGTCACGGACCGCTCTGCCCTTCGTAGGCACCGAGCGGCTGGGGCGCTGGGCGCTGCCCTCCTGGCTGAGTGCCACTGTGAGGGGCCTCTGGGACGGGCTGCACTCCTTCCCTTTCCGTCAGATCCAGAGCCCAGCCAACAGCACCTCACCCAGTAAGCCCATTTAAAAGTATGTTTGTTCCACGAGAGCGAGCGTGAGAGGTAGAGGCGCCCATGGCAGGTCCTGGGTCAGGCCCTGTGGGCGTCCGGGAGGCCGGGGCCCCGCCTGCAGAGCAGACCTGAGGAATGCTCGCTGAGCGAGTGCGAGAGGGAGATGAAGCACCGGAGGTCGTGACAAACGCCTTAAACCTGCGCCACCTGACATGGGGTGTGTGTGCTTGTTGGAGACAGAGACAGAGGGAAAGTGAGAACGCACCCCCGGGGGATGGCCATGCCGCAATCCCTTCTGGGATGTGGGGCGTGCACATGCCTGAGGTGATTTTCACGCTGGCAGCTCTGGGACTTGAACCGCGGTTGGCCACATGGGAGCCCAGAGCCCTAACCACAGCACCGCTGGCCCTCCACTCTAAGCTGCAGCACATGCCCATCCTCTGGCACAAGGGCGTGTGGCAGGCCGCACTCACATGGCCTTCGCCGTCTCCCAGGTCTCGCCCCACACGTACACCCCGTGGCGCCTGACGAGCACAGCGCAGGAGTCGGGGTACGCGGCCATGGCCCGGGCCATCCGCTCCTTGAGGTCCCTCTCCTCGGGTGTGTTCTCGATGATGGGGACCACTAACATGTCGTCATACCTGGAAGACAAACTGTACCGTTCCCATGGGAACACACCCTCAGGTTCCCCAGACATGAAGGCGCTCCCCGGGCCCCCTCGCATCCGGTACCGCTCCCGGCCAGAGCTCACACCTGCTGCTCTGCGCACTGCACCGCCCTGCCCTGGTGCCTCAGAGGCCTACTCAGACCCAGTGTGAGGAACGTGGGGGCTGAAGGGGATGGAGCAGTGCCCAGGATCGTGCGAGGCTAAAACAGCGATGGTCACGCTTTTACAGGAGCGGGGACGGGAGGCAGAGCACCGAGGGTTCAACGCCGGGCTGCACCATCTGGAGGGTTTTCAGCACAGCGCCCACTCCCCCGCACCCCAGCAAGCCAGCAGACATAGGTGTGGTCTGTGGTAGGCAGCCGAACCCTTCCGCAGACCCTGTCCCAGCCCAGGCAGCAGTGTGGGGCGCCGCCTCCCTCCGCTTTATCCCAGTGAACAGGATGGAGTCAGCGTGGGGACACCCAGGCAGTAACGTTCCTGGGGAGATGAGGCCCATTCTTCAGGGCTCCCCGACCAGGTTTCCCTCTACATGGACTTTCTTGGCATTACTGTAACAGCTGCTCCTTGCCCACCTCCATGGAGCCTAAGCAGAAAAGAAGAACTTCTGGCTGAAGTGTGAGAAGAACTGCTGTTCTGGGAGGTCCAGGCTAAAGGCATGTGACAGGCAGTGAGGCCAGCCCTGACCAATGACATACAGGCTGGCCCGTTACTTCACTCAGGGGAGATGGGTCAGACAACACCCTCGAACACGGGAAGGCCAGACCACGAGCTGTGGGAAGGCGGTGGGGCCTAAGATCCCAAATGCGGGAGGACCAGACGCAGGGCAGAACCGGCCCCACCCTGCTGCAGGGACAGCGAGAGGACCAGACTGTGGATGGGGCCGGCTGCACCCCCCTGTGGGGACAGCAGGCTCCTGCGAGCAGGGCTCCCGCACTGAGAGATGCGTTAGGCACTGGCAAGTATTGACCGGAACCCATTCGGGTGGACTTCTGGCACACGGGTCTGATACGCACATCCCAGGGCATGCAGGGGCATGGTGACATGGCTGAAGGCCACTTCCATCGACTCGCCCGTCAGGCTGAGCCACGCAGGAGCTCTGAGAACACATCACCTCCACCGTGACAGCCAGGACCTGAAGTGGCTACGGCCTCGACCTGTCTGTTAACAGAAGACCACCTTTCCCATGGACGGTCCAGCCACGCCACCACCCAGACACATTCCAGAGATCGATTTTACCAAAACGTTAAACTACGGTTCCTACAGCCCAACTCCGCGAAGACGCCGCGCAGGTGCAATCTGGCGCTCGGTGTCTCGGCACACAGCAAAACCCTCCACTCCACAAAACCCTCGGCTGGCTCTGACCGCTCTGCTGGCGCCAGAGCTTGGTCACTCGCGCTGCCCCGGTGGGCTGACCCACAGGGGTGGGGAGGGAGCCCTCTGACGTGCGGCTGAGGAAGACTGCACACGGGACGTGGGGCGGGATGAGGAGCGATACCATTTCAGAGACCCCAGGAGGGCCACCCCGTCACTCACGCAGGAAGGAGAGGCCAGTACCTGTAGCAGCCTCCGGAGGTGCACTTCCTGATGCCTTTGATCATCTCCTGATGTGTAATTTTAAACTCCCGTCCCGGAAAGAGGAGGGTGGCCAAGACGGCGGCTTTCGAGTGGGTGTGGATCACGGCGCCTGCTCCTGGAGGGGAGGGCACAGCTCGCTGAGGCTCGCGCCCCTCTAGAAGACGCACACACTGTCTCATACCGACGTGTGGCTGTGGCTGTACCGCACCACATGGTGCGGGGAGCTGGTGGTGACGGGACAATGAACGGTCCCCAGGGCTGCCGTGACAGCTAAGGATGGACACACATGACGTTCTAGCACACAGCAGGTACTCAATACTATCCCCAGCACCTGGCGGCTCCTCTGCCAGCTCGCTGCACCCACCCGCCCCGCGCACCTCGCATGGTGTAGGCATTCATGAAGAGGGGGGTGCACTGGCTTTTCCTGAGCATCTTAGATGGCGGGGGTCCGCTGATGTCCTGCTCGCTCATGTCACACACAAACATGTCTTCTGGCTGTTCAGAGGGAGAAGGGAAAGGGTCCACAGAGTCAGAGCAATGCCCCTTGGCTTCCTTGTGTGCACACACGTATGGGGAGTCCACAAAGGTCAGAAAACTCCCCACGCAAAAACTAAGCATGACTGCAACATTTTTCTGCATTGAAATAAATGTGCGCTTTAATTCCATTTCTGCAGACTTTGACATTCCGCCATGATTCTGAGTATCCAGAGTGTTAACATATGTGTACATTTAACACACGTTCTAAGTTTTCTGTGGTCGCAGTTTATTTCAAATCTTTATAGCTATTTTTAGAAATGAAACATGTCTTCTACTAGGAAAAATATCCTCAAGCCCAAAAGTTTGTTCTTTAGAGTTTAAAGAAAAAGATTAAAATAGGGAAGGACCGTGTGTGAGGCATGCTGTCATCTCGGGTCAGCGTCTCAGTCTGCGCTGTCGCTCCGCAACCACCTCTCAGTGATCACACGAGGGGCTGACTCCCAGGTGGGTGTTAGTTTTTCACATTTCGTAAAATAAAGAAAAACTTAACAGCAAGATGCTCTTATCCCCTGAGAGACTTAAGTGGTTAATCTCAGTAAGGAAAGTCAGTCTTCGAGTTAAGGAGTTATGGAGACCCGTAGTTTCTTAGTTAAGGCATACGTAGTTCTGATTTGTAACTTTCATTTGCCAAGGTTTATTACGAACCACCAAACAAATGTTTTATTACTGGAGCAGCTTTGATTTCTAGTCAAGTTGAGCACTGTGTGTCCAAACTCAATGTGGTATTTTCTCAGCACTTATCACTGAATGAGACCTCTTTGAACCGTGCAGCAGCCTTTCATGACTGTCTGCAGGAGCTGCGCATGGGGCCACCCAGCCTGAGGGCACTGTGACGCTACGCCCTGGTGAGGACCAGGACTGTGGTAGTCACGTCTGCCCTCGACAGGTGAGCGAGACTGCAAGGCCCCGGCGGCTGCAGGAGGCACCTGCCCCGAAATGGCATTCAGTTACTTGCAGGTGTGGACAGTTGTTCGCAGTATCCCAATGTGACCATCCCTCAAAATGTTTTCTTTTAAAGTTAATTTCATTCCACAAAATGAAAAGTAGAGAAAAGACACCTGGGTTTGGCCTAGGAGAAGTCCCCCTTGGTTTGGGGGGGGGGGGGGTCTCTTACCATACCTGGATGCGTTCCTTTTGCACTCCGGAAGGAGCGATGTAGATTTCATTGCTGGTAAAATAAAACACAAAGGTGGCCATTAGCTCATGTCCTGCTTGTGCAAACTCAGTGTGCACAGGCAGTGCGATCAGTGCCGCTCGCCATGCGCTGGGCCACGACAGCTGCCTGCCTGCTGCTTAGTGAGACCCCGAGACCTGACGCCTCGCTCGGCTGAGGCTCCCTGAGCCGGTGGCCGCGGGCGCGGGGCCCCCCCCCGCC